TGTAGTCCACCTAGGAAACGCTCTAAAAAAAGACACCTGAGTGCAGAAATGAAAGAGGTCATTTTGAATATATAAAGATCGAGCGCGAGGAGAACGAGGCATCAACCATCAAAGAAATTGTTGTGAAGGTTTCTCACAAAGTTGGGGTGTGTCGCGCATCAGTGTTTAATGTGTTAAGACAATACAAAAAAATCACCCTTCTGAGCCAAGTACCAGTAACATCGCAAAAGTATTGTTAAATCATTGGATGAAGCTGATAAGCATGCCGATTAGGAGGAAAGTGCATGAATTCATCTTTAGGAATGAAATACCTACTATAGATAAGTACTGCAGGAGGTAAATGGAGATACAACGTTGCCAAACTTCAAACGATCAACTTCCATGCGTTACTGAAGCATTTAAATTTTCAAGTGGAAAAAAACGGGGTCGTAATAGTTTACTACTGGATAGAGAAGAAATTGTGCTATGGAGGAGGGATTATTTAACAAAAATTGGGAAATATAGAAATCAAAACAGGAAGATTTATTACCTTGATGAAACGTGGGTAAACGCAGGACACACTACAAGTAAAGTATGGGTTGATGATTCTGTAACTTCATCCAGGAGGGCCTTTCTAGATGGACTGTCCACCGGATTAAAAAATCCAGCAGGTAAATACGAGTAATAGACAACAATCGGATGTTTTTCAAACCTTGGAACAAGGCTAAACATTAATTCCAGGGGCAGATAAAACATATTACAAGTAACAAACTGTTATAACTTTCGATAAAATGCGTGGATGTTTTATTGTCATTTTCATTTGTCAGAACTTTTTTAAGCCATTTTTATGTGTTTTCGATATTTCAATAATTTTTAATATAATCTTAAAATATGTCGAATATTATAAATTTAAAAAAAAGGGTTACTAAGTTTTATATTGTGTTACCGTTCCTAATATTTCTAATCATTTTAATTCATACTTTAAGCTTTATAAAGTTATAATTTGTTAATATTAATATTGGCGCGTATTTAGGTTCCTGATCATTCATTTTTTAAAGGTTTATAACTTTAATTAAATTGTGAAGCGCTGAGTAATCATACGACGTTCAATATCTTCTTTCAATATGACTAAATAATCCCAATTATAAGCAATCTGATACTCATGTCTCAATGTTTTTCGCTGAATGTGATGAAAACCATTTGAAAAAAGGGTCGCTTATTGAAATAATCTACACAGTTAGTACTTCGATTTCCAGGTAAAGGGAAAAGGCTCATTATCTGCCATATTGGCAGTGAGGATGGATTTGTTGTTGACGGTCTGTGGTGCTTTGAGTCTAAGAAAACTGGAGATTACCACGAGGAAATGAATGGCGAATCGTTTGAACAGTGGTTTTCAAAAATTTTACCGAACTTAGAGGAAAACGCAGTAATTGTGTTGGATAATGCGCCTTATCATTCTCGAAGAATGGAGAAGGTCCCAACAACGGCTTCAAGGAAGTTGATGTTCAAAATTGGCTCCGCTCGAAAAATATCAACTTTGAAGAAGCAATGCTGAAAGTACAATTATTAAGAATTGTTAAGGATCACATGCGGAATATCAAAAATACGCCATTGACGAAATGACAGCAAGTCAAAATAAAACTGTTGCTCCGTTCCCTCCATACCATTGCGAGCTCAATCCCTTGAGCTCATATGGGCAGAGGTTAAAAATTATATAGCTAAGCACAATACAACTTTTAAATTTTGTGACCTCAAAGGACTTTTCAAAGAAGCACTAGAATTAATAACAGCGCAAAAATGGGAAAACTGTATTAAGCACGTGAAAGACAAAGTTGAAAAGAGAATGTGGGAACTGGACAATATTTTAGAGGAACAAGTCGAGCCATTCATTATTGACGTTGGTGCTTCAGGCAGTAGCGATGATGAAAGCTCATCAAGCTCATCTTTCCAATAAAAGATGTCGTTCATCAAATTCGGTAAGTTATAGGTAATTATAAAGCTACTGTATTTTTTAATTATTTATTGACATTTTTGAACCCATTTTGGCAAACCTATTCAAGAATCTACTTTCTGACAATGTTCAACCATGCACATTTTTTTACGTTTTGAACGTTTTAATTTGGTTACATATTTACCTAGAAATCAAAAAATATACTAATCAATATTCTAAAAGCAATTTTAAGAGATATACGATTATTTTTAATTTAGGCCTAATTTAAACGCCATTTTGAGATTATATTTGACTGTATTTCACCAAACAATCAGGCGGCATCCGAAGCTGGAAATCGAAGCGAAAATTTGAAACCCTTATGTATATTTACATTATTATATATGTCTTATACCCCACCCCCACATGATCCTATATCCATCACCAATCGTATACACATCGAATTGTGCTAATTTACTACAAAGTTACGCAAAGCAGCATCTACTATCTAAAATATGTACTGCGTGACTCTTAATACGTCCCTGCCGAATGTTACAACAACAGCGTTCGATGATCAGCGTGTCTTGTTTATGTCCGGTCTATCTCTTATCTGAATATACTGTAGCTAGTTAGCATCTGGCGGCGTAACACGTGGAGTACACTGGTGTAGAAACAGCTGATCCTTAAATTCGGTTACGTTAAGTCGTGCATGAGCCCGACATTATTTGTAATTACTAATAATTTTAGGTCTATGTCCACAGTAATTGCACCTCTGAGATGTAGGGATTAACATGTTCTACACATATCGGTGTTTTAGGATGGGGACGACATATTGTTTTGATTGCTTTGAAGATATTCATTAACCCATGAATTTATAACAAATGATTATGATGAGGAATTGGTTGGAATACATTTTATATTCTATTTTCTTGCAAATCCGCACAATTCAACAGGTATGTGTAGCTATAATGATCTCATAATATACACACAGTATATTGAACTTAACAAATTTCGAGATTGCCATGAATTAACAAACGACCAAACCTGCTGCCAAATTTAACAGCTAGAAAATCGACCTATTATTTCTCCCATTCCCATTGACTGAGGGGATAACGGATGGTCAAATGTACACCTATAACATAAATCAAATACATGAAAGTTGTCCTGTTTTTCTCTGTACAAAAGCATCATGTTGGAATCAAAAAGTGGTCTTGTTTATAATACAGTCGAATTTTCACAATTTTATTCAATATTTTAATAGAAATCACTGATATTCTGAGACCTTTGACAGCTTCCGTCAAATTGCATTTCGATAAGGTATTTTCCTATTGGTCCATAATAATAATGTTGGTGAATTC